AAACTTGCAATTATGGCAGATAATTGTTTTTGTAAGCTTTTTAGCAATTCTGCTAACAGAGAAATAATTCAAATTTGAGTTAATGATAAATCTATACATCTAAACATTCAAGTGTTAACATTTTGGGGCACGTATGTGCAGTAGAGAAGTAGAGAAGCAGAACAAGGATGATCAGGGAACTGGAGAATAAAATGGTTGCAGGAATTGGATATGTCTATTCTGGTGAAAAGGATTGGGGTGACAACACGATAGCGATATCCCAATATCTGAGGAGCTGCCATATAGAAGATGAGGGCAACTTATTCTCCAAAGCACCTGAAGGCAGGAGAAGAAGCTATGAATGGAAACTAATCAAGGAGAGAAGCAACCTAGAACTAAGGAGAAATTGCTTGACAGTTAGAACAATTAATTAGTGGAACAACTTGCCTCCAGAAATTGTGGTTGCTCCAACACCGGAGGTTTTTAAAGAGGTTGGACAACCATTTGTCTGAAATGGCATTGGGTTTCTTGCCAAGGCAGGGGTTAGACTAAAAGACCTCCAAGATCCCTTCCAATTCTGTTATTCTGTTCTGAGCTTTCCTGGAAGTAACTATACCACGATTGTCTCCATGTGATCAGGAGTTTCTGGCTTTGTTTTTGTGGTTGGTTGAACTGAGTGTGTTACACCAGCCAATATGAATTTCAGGCTTATACCTTGCATGCCTTCAGCTTGAAGAATAAGGGACATTTTTCTTCTGTTTCGTCTGCATCTGAATATTTCATCTGAACTTGAACTATCTATTAGGCCAAACTCCAGTCAAATATATACTTGCTGCAACAGGTTTTCTTCTCATGAATTTTGTCATACCCTGATACTTCACTACTTGTTTGTGTACTGATTATAATACTGAGTTAATTGATAAATAAAATTGTGTTCAATATGATCTGTGTGGTGAAGCTTCCGCTTTCTCACACCCAGTGTACTATGAACAAATATTCTAGTGTTGTTTTCCAAAGTCAGGGATACACATTTGAAAGAGCCAATCTTAGATCGTTTTAAGGTTTCCTTCAAAGAGAAAACTTCATTGGCCCTGTGTTATAAGTCATTATCATCATCAAAAAAATCCTCTAAATGTTTCAATTTATTGTTCCTCTATTTTATCTTTTCCCTAGAGATGGGTTGTTCTAGAAATTATACTAAAAACATGAAATAAATTGATTCAACATAATAACACATAAAGGAATTAATTCACTAGTGACATTATTATATTAAGAGAAATTTTACAAATGGTTCATAGAATATTTCAAAATTTAAAATTATATTACTAAAATCTGTCAGAAAAAATTCATTTTTTAATTGTAAAGATTAATTGTCAAAAATTAACTTTTTGTTCAAAACATTAATATCTTAGACAAAGGCTTTGTCTTAAGTCTATAGCATCATAGTTTTAGGTTCTTGTTTATCTGAGCTTTTGAGAGGAATATCATTTGCCTTGTGAATGACGGTGGGTCTGAAAGACTGAGTCTGGGGGAGTACTGATTAAAATCACCGTGCATTACTAGCTTGTTTAAGTATTGACAGAAACTATATATAAAGTATATCTATATATTTTGAGTAGTTTTAAAATGGAAATAGCAGAAGGAAATTTAAGCAGATAATGCAATATTCTTCAGTCAGGAAACAAAAGAACAAAGCAAAATTAATCCTAATCAGACTTAACACTACATCTTCTACTAATGTTCATGGTGTGAATAATACAGACAATATTGCATTTCCTGTCTCTACCACCGCCATAATTTTGTGGTGATAAAACAACTCTAATAAAAGGAGAAGGGTGATCTTAATTTGAACTAATTTTCTAAAGAACACAGCATCTCCTCCCAACGTTATTTTGTCACTCACCAAAAACCCTAGTCAATGATTTGTACTTATAATATTTGATGCAGGAAACTACTAGTAAATATGATTAAAATATTTATCTTGCAAGCATGAAAAGATCAGTATGTTCCATGTACAACAAACTTCTAAATGCCAGGCAAGCATGAAGCAGAAATCAAATTATTCCTCATGGATTCAACTTCCTTCTTGAAATGTTTGCCTTATTGTATTCCTAGGTACATACACAAATGCATATAAACCTGCTGCATTCCCTTGCATAAAACAAGACAGACCAATAGATTTTGCATTGCAACTCTTAAAATTTGAACCACATCATCATAATTCTATCCAATGCATTAGTACCTTGGTTTATAATCTCTTGAAGAAAAGCTGTAGACACATATTCAATGGAACCCTACCTCATAGATGGTCTCCTTTCAGGTTTTCTAGCTTCAAGGATAGATTTCAGAAGACACAACTTTGTCTTCTCAAAAGAATGGCGTGGTGGTATTCATACATCTCCTAAGACATTGTCTCATGCATGGGGGATGCAGTCATAATAATCCTCTAGGAATGTAGCACTGATCCACTGTCTGTTGCTGCACCCAAAAGAGATTATGTAAAAATCCATCACAAACTGCCTTGATTTACTGGAAGAATGCAATGCCTTTTAAATAGGTTTCAAGTTGATTTAGAGACATATGACATGAGCCTTTACAACTAACTCACTTGTACAGTGTTTGAAGGGAGGATTTAATGTCCCAATAATGGATGGATTGATCTTTAACTATTTTCTTACTTATTTGATCGAGTTCCCTGCGCCAATTAGTGAAATTACTTAATGTAAAAAGGTGTATCTGTTTATACAAATGTCTCACTTAAGTTTAGGACAGCATTCTTGATGAACTGAATAGGGAATAATTATTTGTATGATTTTTAAAAGCAAAATAAAACCGTTGCTCAGAATCCTTGCCAGGAAATTCTTTTAATAAATTGCATTTGTACTTCATGTTTTGTAAACTCAATAGGTTGTACCACTGAGATTATGAATGTATACTAAACAAACAGGTAATTCTGCAAAAAAAATATTAATAGGAAATGTTCATTTTATGTTCCACTTTCAGTGGTTTGAGGACTTTTGGTGTTATATAGATACGTTACATCAAATCTTTAAGCAGGTATTATATCTATTTCCAAATACAATAATATATGAATGTTTTGATGACTCAGATTGCTTTGATTGCTCAGAATCAACTGCCATAAATCCAATATGGAAATAATTGGCTCAGCGCTCCATGCCTTGCCAACCTCATGGTTGAAATACCCACGGCAATGTGCTATTGGTACGTATGGTGATGTTGGGCTGCCCTTGAAAGTTCAGTTTCAAAAGAATTTGGCTAAAGTGTTAGAAAGATGAGACCAAATGGGATAATTCTGAAACAAATGTCATATTAACTTATTGGTTTCTAAAGTGCATTCAAATTAAGCTTGTATAACTACAGACCCAAATAGCTAAAGAAATCCTTTTCTTTATGATGCCCACTTGAAAGAAAGACGCTTCTCCAAATGATGTTCTAGCATAAAAACTCTTGATAGAAATGTTGCCAAATTTGATCTTGCAATCATGTTGACACCAAGTCAAGAGTCCCTTCTTGACTTAGGGAATTTCTGTTGATAAAGCCTGCCTGATCAATTTCATTTCCTTTTAATGCATTTAATGGTAATTTGTATTGCAGTTTAGCAATACAAGTGGAAACATCCATTTAATGAACCCCTATTTCAGATTCAACAAATCTAATTTTGATTTAAATATTCCCACATGCCCAAACAATAGACAAGTCCATTATACCCAAAGAAATCCAGGCGAGGCAGTTTAGTATGCATTAATTCTGTGTCATGGCAATTCATGTTACTTGTGTAATGATTCTGATGAACTGATCCTTGACTATAAAAAGCTAAAATGAAAAATAATACAATAATTGCATATAAATATACAAGGCTGATTTCAATAAAGATATTTATTAGTAAGCAGATCACCAATGTACAGATATTTCATCAGCTTTCAAAATAAAAAGGAACATAAAATTTAGAGTTTTTGAACTTTGCAATTTAACACCATGTAATGATTGCAGAGTCTTCAATGATACCTTTAAATATTTCTTCTAATTAAATGTCTTGAGCATGTACTAATGTATTAATTTCTGGAGCTTTGTACTGATGAAATCTACTATAATAGTTAATGAAACATATTCCTGGCAATAAAATACATTAAACATTATGGCAAGTTATTGATTTTGGAACAGAAGTCCTCCATGACAATATTAATAAAAATTCATAACACAATCATGCTCAGTTAAAAAAAAAATAGACAGACTCATCAGCCAAGTATGAAATCCTACATGATTATGATCATTAATTCACTGAAAGTCAATCTTGTCAGGACAAGCTATAAAATGTCACAAAAGACTAGGTTCATCTCCTAACTGCAGGAATTCCCAAAACTAAGCAGCTTCCTCAAGAAAGCCTTGCTAACATAATTATCACCCACACGTCACAAAGAAGACAAGGATATGCTTCCTCAGTTGAACAATCTCCAGTGTAGGTTAAGACATAAAGAAAACCCCAAAGAATTCCCCATATTGCATACATGTGACGAAGACAGAGATGTACAGGTATTTCAGTATATAGTCCATGGACTCGCCTTTAGTTCAGGGTTCTTAGAGTTTATTCTTCGGAGTGCAATTTTTAAAGAGCTCTCACTACCAGGCTTTCAGGAATATTGACCTTACAAAAAGGTAGTTTGTTAGTCAGCAACGCTAAAACCCAAGTCACCTATTTCTCCACAACAATTGTTTTAATCAGATGTTGGGGCAATGATGAAATATTTTTTTTATTTTTTTATTTTTATTTGTCAATCACTTACAAGATAATAGGTATAAGTATATACATAGTTATGAATACATGAAATGGGTACATATAAGAAAAATAAAAGAAACAATAGGACAGGGACGATAGGCACGTTGGTGCGCTTATGCACGCCCCCTCCAGACCTCTTAGGAAAGGGGTGAGGTCAATAGTAGACAGTCTAAGGTTAAAGTTTTGGGGGTTTGGGGAAGAAATCATAGAGTCAGGAAACTGCAAGGAAATCTTGCTTTGAAATTATTGTGTCTATTTTTGCAGCCAATTGGTAATGTTGTATAATACTAAGAATTTCCTACATCTAATATAATACTTTAACTGTGAACTCTAATCTAGTGCATTTGCTACTTGGAAAAGAATCCTAAAGCACCCATGACATAAAACGAAGGAATTGTTAAGGACACAACTCCAGTCTTAGTAGCTAATGTCCCCTTGTAGCTGGAAGAATTGCCAGGGGAACAAATTATGGTCTACATTATCATATCTTCTAATCCTTTGTTCCCATATTGGTATTATTGCCAATCTGCGCAATACGTCAATACAGCACAAAGCCTATAATGTGAAACACAATAATCTGAAAAAAGACCCATCCCTATAAAACTAATTTTGGAAATCTATTTGGCTACAATCATAATAAGTACAAACTTGGATATCATGGCTTATCCTGCCTATAAATATATGAACAGAAGAGAACGTAGGCCAGAAAACAGCATTCTTTTTCTCAGCCTCATTGACAAAATAGCTATTATATCCATGCAAAAATGTAATTGCTTGGGCTAAATTGATCATAAGCAAGACTTTTAAAAGTTAGTTTAAAATAAATATTACCATTCTGTTACATTGTAGCTTAAGAGTAATATGAACCAAGAACTGATACAGGTAGTTCTTGACTTATGACTGGTCACTTAGCAACTATTCATAGTTATGACGGAACACCACCACCACCACCCCAAAAAATTTGCAACTTGGATTTCAAGTTTTGATGGCCATTCCCTCCCACTGTGTTTTGGGCACTTAGTAACCAGGCCACATTTACAGCCATTTGCAGGATCCCACGGTCATGTGACTGTGGTTTATGGGTTTTCTGGGGTCCAGCATTTACTTCCAATTTCTGGCAAAATGTGCTGTTTTAATAACGACAGCATTTAATGACTGCCACAAAAAAAGTCATAAAATCAGGTAAACATTATTTATTACCTTAATTCTGGGCTAGTTATCACTGAATTGCAAGTTAAAAAACTACCTCTGTATAAAAATATTTTTCATTACGGAGGCCCAAGAGCAATGCGGTTTTTGAAGGTCAGCATTTTGTTTAAAATTGATTTTGCTTTGCCTCCCATTTGTTTCAATGATGAAAATCACAAGTTACTCTCAACAAATACATTTCTATGCAGCCCTCCCACAAAATGCAAGCACCTCAACCAAGGGTCTCAAAGGTACTTCCCCCCACCGAAAGAAAAAGGCAACTGGACTGGGGTTAGGGTTTTTTTCTTGAGAAAAAAAAAAGCACCTGAGAGACAACTATGACATGGAGGACCGACAATCTTCCCAGATTCTCAACCAGGGGGTTTAAGATTGTGCCTTTAAAATATCATCTAGAAACGTTTTCAGATAAAAATGTTCCAGCCTTAAATAATTGACTTAAGTGGTTCAACTGGCTTTTGCATGTGTAATGTTTGGCCATGGAAGGGAGGTGTCTTCTTGAATGCCAACTTGATGATGCCCGTTTCTGTGATTTAAAAGTGGTTCACGTCATCCGATTTAATATCCTTTTTCAGTTTGGCCAGGCGCCCAAGGCATTCATCTCTCCACTCTCTCCTGGCATTTAGGTGCTCTGGATCACTTGGAGTTTTTTTAACCATGGCCTGAAACAAAGACAAAATAAGCTACACATTAGGATAAAGGTTTGCTTTAGGACAGCTCGACATGGCACAACCTATGATTGTGTCCATACGGTTTTCTTTGCAATGGTGTGGAAATGAACTGCCACTGTCTTTTTTTTTTTTTAACTTTCCAGTTTAATCTGGATTTAGGGTGGTTTCCTGGGCAAGGATTGTCCCAAAGATGCTTTTTTGAATTGGCAACTGGACTTTCTGGTTTTTTCTTTGAAGACGTTTCACTTCTCATCCAAGAAACTTCTTCAGCTCTGACTGGATGGTGGGGAATGGAAGGAGTTATACTTGCAGACAGGTGGTCATTTGCATTCTTTTAGAGACTTGTTGAGGCCACCTGGAGGTTTATCTGTGTCATCAGGGTCACCTGAGTTGTGCAAACTGGTGTGGAGCCCTCTTGGAACTGTTGAAAGGGCTGTGTTGTAGATTGGAGATAGGTGTCGTCGTATCCCTTCCCCTCTTTTGAGAAAGGGCTGTTCAATTTTGACATAGATGGCCTCTTTGACCTCTCTTTCAAACCAGTGATCCTCTTTTTCCAAAACATGGGACTTCAAAAGAGTGGCCTGTGTCTTTTAAATGCAGTTGAATCTATAACACAGTCCTTTCAATAGTTCCAAGAAGGCTCTACACAAATTTGCTCCACTCAGGTGACCCTGATGACACAGATAAACCTCCAGGTGACATTAATGACTGGCTAAAACAATGCAGATGACCAGCTGTCTGCAAGGAGTATAAATTCTTCCATTCCCCACCATTCAGTCAAAGCTGAAGAAACTTCTTGGATGAGAAGTGAAACGTCCTCAAAGAAAAACCAGAAAATCCAGTTGCCTCTTAAAAAAAACACCTTTGGGACAACTGTGAACTGGATGACTCCACTGACACTAGGCAAGGGTTGTTCAACAGTCCTTTCCTGCTTAGCTTTTAAACCAGTTAAGGTCAGTTAAGTGCTGCCATCTAGCTGAGACTGTTTAAGTAGGAAACCAACCAGTCAGCCCAACAGCATTCCCCCAAAAACAGTGTTTCTACAACCTTGGCAAACTGAACATGTGTGGACTTCAACTCCCATAATCCCACAGCTAGCTGGGGGAATTGGTTGGGGAATTCTGGGAGTTGATGTCCACACATCTTCAAGTGGCCATAGCATGCTTTGCTCTTTTTACAAGGGATGGATTATTTTGTCTTTTAGGGCAGGGGATCCTAACTCTAAAACCCGGTACCAGATCATGGTCCCTTGGGAATTGGGTCGCACAAGCAATGGGCGAAGCACACAAAGCTACTTTTGTGCAAGCAGCAGGCATGTGCGTGAAACCATCCCCTCACCCAGCACCACTGCCAAACTGCGGAGCTGGAAAGGTTGGGGACTGCTATTTTAGGACTTCTAAAGCGATGGTAGGTTTGTTCTTTTTGATATTATGGAATAACTTATTGATACATCTTTCTTGATGCACAGTAGCTCCAACTTGGCTCCAATACAGAAGTTCAGCTCACAAATGAGTGCCTGCCCTAGGTGAAATTTTGACATGTTCCCCCCCACCTCATAATTTCATTTATGAAAAGACATCACATCTCCCACACACTGGAACAGCAACATTTTTTAGTAGAAAAATGCCTTTCTTTTCCAATCTGTACAACTTGTTCTTATATGCATGATATCATTAACTGGTGTTAATGATAATAAAAGTGGCTCCTCTAATCCTTGCAGACTTCTAAAACATTTAAGATATCTTTTTCCAATGTTTTTACCTTATGTGCTACTGCAATGTTTGGCAAAACCTGCTATTGTCAAATATCTCAGGGAACATCACCCCAAATTCCAAACTAGTGGGCCATTGGTTATAATGACTGACAGTTCCAAGAATTGTAATCTGACACATCAGGAGACCATCAGGCTGCGATGAAAACACTACTGCTTTTGAAAAAATCTTCTCATTCACCTTCTCATTTTTCCCTGCTCACCATGTCACCAAACTATGTCCTACATTGTGAGGTTGTTAACAATAACATGCCTGTCCCTTTCCATTCCTTTACATGGAAACCAGATATTTGAGTGTTGGCACTGGATGAAGGCTTGAGAGATTATCCAGAACAAATGGGTTTAGGATTTTGCCATCTTTTTTGACAGTGAAATCCTAGAGAAATAAATATGATGTGATGATGGCCTATTTAATAAAAACCTCAAGCCAAAGAAAGAGAACTCACTTTTTTGCTTTACTAAACCTCTGAACAATAAAAGAAGATGGTGGCCCGATTACAATTATCTTGCCCTGTTCTTAACTTGGCCCTGAATTACCTTGCCCCATTCCTAACTTGCCTTCTGAAGCTAAAAAAAATAAGGCCGACATACTGATTTTCAGATTATACTTTAATCATCTGACTCAGAGGTGCTTTTCAGCAGGTTCTGACCAGATCTGGAGAACCAGTAGCAGAAATTTTGAGTGGTTTGGAGAACCAGCAAATACCACCTCTGACTGGAGATTTTACAGTATCCTTCCTCTGCTACACCTACCAAGCCATGCCCACAGAACCTGTAGTAAAAAAATTTGAATCCCACTGCTGATCTGACTACTTTTTCTTCTCATACATATTATAAAACACACTGGATTTGAAGATGTTTTTATACGTGTATCTTTAGGAAGCAAATTACAGAATGACATACAGATGAATAATTCCCTATTTTTACATAATTTTAAAAGGTACTACAGTCCTTAGAAACCAGATCTTAGAGGTTAAATAAGTACTGGGGATCCCAGCATAAAAATGATTGGGCAGGGAATTACTACATTAAGGAATGTGAATCTGAACAGAAAATTGTCTTGCAGTGGAAAGAATGAATGGCTTAAAAAAAAAGAACAGTGAATGAATTCATATTCATAACAGATAGTCCTTGACTTACAATCATTTATTGAACAGCTATGCAAACTTACAGCAGCACTGAAAAAAGTAACAACTGGTCCTCACACGACTGTCACAATATCCCCACAGCCATTTGGTCAAAACTAGTGTGTTTGGTAATTGGCATGTATTTGCAATGATTGCAGTGTCCCTGGAATATGTGATCGTGTTTATGACATTCCAATTGCAAAGACAATGGGAGAAGGTAAATTTACTTAACAACCGTGTGATTCACTTAATAGTTGCAGTTATTTGCATAACACCCATGGCAATAAGTCATATAATTGGGTGAAACTCACTTAACAACCTTCTTTCTTAGCAACAAAAATTCTGTTCCCAATTGCGGTTATAAGTTGAGGACTACCTGTATGTTTGCTAAATACAGAAGATAATTCATTTCATTTAATAACAGTCAAGTGTGTTGAATAAATGGTGCAATCAAAACATATCAAACCTGAGCATTTTATCCCACTTTGGACCATATATATAATCTCTATCTAAAAAAAAGTATCATATTTTGGGGACCTGCAGAGTAAAAATTGGTTCTGTTTCTTAAAAATCACAGTCATATTTCCGTTTTGCTCTTAACTTCCATTTGACAACAGGAACAATGTAATGCATATAAAGAAGCACATTTGGCTGTAATGCATTCTATATGCTGAAGTTTATGTGTGTCAACAACACAGCAAAGCACAAGACTGCTAACAAATAACAAAATGATAAAAAAATTAATTAATCCAAATAAAAGGCGCAGTGCCACAGCGGTGCAATGGTTAAGAGTGCAGTACTGCAGGCTACTTCTGCTGACTGCCAGCTGCCTGCAATTTGGCAGTTCAAATCTCACCAGACTCAGCCTTCCTTCCTTCCGAGGTGGGTAAAATCAGGACATAGATTGTTGGGGGCAATATGCTGACACTGTAAGCGACTTAGAGAGGGCTGTATAGCACTGTGAAGTGGTATATAAGTCTAAGTGCTAGTGCTATTGATAAATTCATAGAACACCTAATATGCTAATGCAGCTGATACATTTTGCCAATTCAGTCTGATATTCAGTTTGTATGCATACCTCATTGATTTTCTTTTCTGTTTCCCCAGCAAAATCTGGCACTGGTCCAAAGGTTTTCAAGACATGGATCATACCTTTACGGTATCTATCGCAATAGTTCAGCATTCCTGAAAGAGAATTGGAAACTGTTTAATGTTTCCCAAACAAAGCAAGTCTACCACTGAATTTGAGAGGAATTACTGACTGGCTAGAATTTTTTTTTTCCTGTCTAGGGGTTCCAAACAGCTGTCTGCTAATCCTTTTCAAAGAATGAAACTCCAAGGAAAAAAATTCCATACCATCCTTTGAGAACTTCTTTGTTTCCAAGTAGGATCTATTTTGCATTTAACAAAAATCTTCTTTCTTGAGATTGATCCCAGTGATTCAAAAGTTCAGACTGTTTAATAACACTCATAATTTCAGCCAGCATTATTTTGGAGGGAAGAGAAGCAGCAGGGAGCTTATGAGCAGAACAAGCAAACACAACAGTCAATAGATATAAGGGAGCTTTGTTTTTTAGGGTTGTTTGGATAATTGCTTTTTTTCTTCTTATTAAGGAACTACTGCATTTGCTTATTTAAAGAATATAGAGTTTGGAGCTCCATCAGGTAAACCAGACAGAAAACACAATCAGGCGAGCTAATTCTACTTGTTGTAAAGGTATATTATCTAATCTTGCAAATCTGGAAGAACAATTTTACCTTTCTCTCCTTTACCAACTAATCAGGAAGATCTCTTTTGAGTATCTTATCCTACGCACTATGCCACTGCAGATGATGCTGTCTTTTATCTGACCATTTTGTAGGCAGCATCTTTGGGCCCAGTCATCCAAAGTCATTCCCACATACTATTAAAAACAGGAACTTAAGCTGCAGGTAATTGATTGATGGAGTGAATACTTAGCCAACAGTTCAGTCCTAAGTAGCATTAAGAGAAAAAACATTTGGGAGATTGCAAACAGGAGAGCAAACAGGAAGAGGGGATTAGGTGAACAGAAGAAAGAATTTACTAATCTCCCACTTTCAGAGACAAAACATCAAGATAAATTCAGAGTTTGGATGAAGAATCCAGAGTTCAAGGTTCTGGAAATATAAGCATCTTAGGTTCTTTTATGTATACCAAGGTTAGTAGACTCCAAAACTCCAAGGGAGCCAACACAACTCCTGGCCTCTTGGCAACACACCATCAGTACTCAAAGACTAGTACTCATAGTTTAGTATACCACTTCTCCCTTGTCTTTTTCTTCAACTACAACTTCTTATTCCTCCACTACATCTCTTTGTGAACCTATTTCTGCAAAACAGTAACTCTTATATTTGTGTTAGGCTGTTTTAGTTTCCCAAATGAACACAAACCACCTTCCTTCTCAAACCCACACCAAACACAACTGCTCCTCTGCTCAACTTTTATACTGACACATTTCTGGGCTGACTACTGAGAGATCTTAAAGGGTCACAGCTGGCCATTTTGCAGACAGCAAATATTCACCTTCTACTGCAAACAATTCTTAAATAGAATAGACAGTCACCAAGAATAACTACATGAAAATAGAAAGCCAGCAGGAGAAGGGAGTTAATTTTCTGGTTTATTACATATACATACGCTTGGCTTGTCCCCCAACTGGTATGGTCTCTGCTGGTTGGCAATATTTCCTGGAGAGCAGGTCCATTCCCCTGAAATCAGAATGGCTGAACTGGGGACACAGGCCACCAGAGAGATAGCTGGATGAGACCCTTCAAGATATAACTTTTTCCTACTTCCAAGGTGATGAATTTCTTATTTTTAAAGGAGAAGGAGGAAGACATTGAGAATGAAAGAGGAAGCCAGTCTGTGGATGATAAAATCTTCTTATTGAAAACATACCTCCAGGAAATTTTGGGGGGAGATTTTTATTGTAATTTGACCTTTGCAAACAAAATATAAACATCTTGTGGATCACATGGTGACATGTTTGCCTGCTCCAAAGGCTGTAGACATAATGAGCCATACAAATCAGCTGCTAGACCATGGTGTAAGCCAAAGCAGTTTAGATTTGTTAGGTGACTGGGAATGTTGAGGGACAAGCCAAGTCTAGGAAATGGGTTCCACTTGGAACCCAGCTGCTATGGAGTAAAACCAAAGCTGACTCTTGGGGGAGAGCCAAAACAAAGGTTGTGTAGCATCCACTTCAAAAACATTGAGCTGCAGTATTTCAGGAAATAAAAGGACCAACATTGGAACACAGTTAATGAAATGTTAGAAAAGATTCATATCAATATTTTAAAAAAGGACCTCCCATTTTTCAGCTACTTCCAGGAAGTCTGAATTATTTCAAATGTTACTTGTGACTAATGTACGTATGCATATTTGTTATTTAATTTATAACAATATTTAATCATGATATTTGTGTAAGTGGCTGGCTATAAAATCAAGACTCTACAGATGCCAAAAAGCAAACTGCATGAATATAAGAAAATTCCTACTCCTAATGTCAAGAAATATGCCCAGAAGTCTGCAATCTTTGGCATATTTATTTATTAAAACTTATGGAAGTGTAAAGAGTTCACTCTGAGTAAACATGAATAGATTACAAACATCTATTGTTCATATATTAAGCCAATTGATATACTATTTCAAAATATCTCTAAGAGAGTGGTCAGAAAAGCATTTGATTTTCAATTGTAATTGTGCCTCTTTTTATATTCTGCAATTTTTGCAGAAACAAAATGGAAAAAAGAGAATCCCCAAGCTTTTCTAAAGCATTAACAGCAGAGCTAATAAAAATATTAGTTGCTTCCACTTATACACGCAATGATGTTTAATGAGAATTCCCCAACATACTTTAGCCATTATGTGATGACCGGGGCGAGGCATGGAAGAAGCCGGAGAACAATTCTAACTCCCCTTTATTGCTCCAACTTTCCCCAGGTGAGCCTTGTGAAGAGGGGTGGGGTGCTCTCCTCCCAAGTTGTTGGTGGCCTGCACTGCCCCTGCCTCCTCTCCACGCTCAGGGATCAGGAAGGAGCGGGCCTTGATTGTCACCGGGGTTCCATCACCCCTCTGCTCCACTGCCTTCCCTCTCTTCTCCCCTCCCTCAATCGTTCTGCACCTGTTCTTCTTTCCTGGCAATCCTTTTCTGGCTGGAAGCTGCCTCATCCTGCTCCTCCAGAGCCAACAAGGCCACACACTCTTCTTCCATCAGCTCCAACTCCGGCTCATCCTCCGCTGCAGACTCTGGCTCCAACGGGGTGATGGCACATTATGAGCTTCAGAGCATTTTTAAATGGCTATAGTTAAGTAACAGCTGAGAAGCCTTTTAAAGCTGTTACTTGTTTACATTATAAAGATCACAATTGTAATCTGTTTTTTTTTAAACCAAGTAGAAAAAAGTACTTTTGCTAAAAAAATAAAATAAAACCCTAGGTTATGCATTTTTAATGACATGTATTTCCTGTTCGCATGAACTGTACTGAGATTTAAAAAAGCAAATTCAGGTGAAGCTATTTAAGATTTTGGTTGTTAAAAGCCAAACAGCCTGAAAAGATTGGATCCACGCACAGGAGGTCCATTGTTTCCTGATGATACTGTAATAGGGTATCTGAGAAAATTGTTTTAGTAGCACTGCACTGCTGGGGTTTTTTTTTGTTTTTGTTTTTTACTAAAAGTGTTTTAGTGCCACTCTGCCAAAATGTTAAAATGTCCATATCCAGGACACAAAATCAGTACTCACCACTATTCGTATTAATTCAGTTGGGTGTCCTTAAACTACCTTTTCCTATGAAAAACATTGTGAGTTTCCTTTGTCCTTGTTCTGTTTCTTTTTGTTCTCATGTTTCTTTTCTCTTTCTGTTTACAATGACTTGCTGTTGGCATTTGCTCTTTATCCCAAAGCTT